ATCAGCGGCCAAGACTCAGAGACTATAAAATCCAGATCCCGGACGACAACAGTGCAGTCTCTGCCCCCGCGCCTCGGTGTCCCTTCCCGGAGTCCCTTGGAGGGGAGCGGGTTGAGCTTTCCTCCCCGCCCCGGCCAGGGCTACGGCAGCCGGAGACCTCCAGGACCAGCCACCACCATATGCTCCAAGTGCTAGAATATTAGTACACCTGGTAGGACATTTGCCTTGTATGAGCCCGAAACCAGGTTCAGTCCCAGTTATCCCATAGTCACCCAAGCACCACCAGGAGTAACCCTTAGCATTGCCAGTTATGGCCCCTAAAACAAAACAAGAAAATTTATTTTTGCATTTCTATTCTTGTCCTTTGATTCATCTTCATTTTCCCCTGAAAATTTCATAAAGTGGAATCATGCAATATATAGTCTTTTCATCTACTTTCCTGACTTAGAATGGAGGGTTTTTTTTTTTTGTTTATTTGTTTGTTTTTGTTTTTTTGCTTTTTGGGTCACACCAGGCTATGCACAGGGGTTACTCCTGGCTCTGCATTCAGGAATTACTCCTGACGGTGCTCAGGGGACCATATGGGATGCTGGAAATCGAACCTGGGTCAGCCGCATGTAAGGCAAACACCCTACTCACTATGCTATTGCTCCGGCCTCCTAGAATGTAGTTTTGAGGTTCATTTTTGTTGGTGAATATATCGCTTTCCCCCTTTTTTTGGGGGGGGGCGCAGGGGTACTCCCAGACCCAGTTGTGCTCAGGGCTTACTCCTGACTCTGAACTTGGGAATTACCCCTGTGGTGCTTAGGGACCATATGGGATGCTGGGAATCGAACCTGAGTCAGTTGTGTAGAAGGTAAATGCCTTACCCACTGTGCTGTCTCTCTGGCCCCACTTTGCCGCATTTTGGGGTTGCTGAATAAAGAAAGAATAAACCCCATTTTATACCATTATGGTTGTTACTGACTACTGGGCATTTGTGTTATTTTTACTGCTTAGCTATTATGAATATTTTTAAGCTGCTATAAAAATTTAAATATAAGTTTAGGTATAGCCATATTTCATTTCTCTTGAGAGGATTCCTTGGAGTAGAATTACTTGGTCATATGGTAAGCATATGATTAACATTTTAAGAACTGGCAAACTGACTCCAAAATAAGTATACCATTTTATATTCCCACCGCCAATGTATGAAGGATCTAATTTCTCCACATGCTCATCAACATGTGGTATTATCTGTGCTTTTTATTGTAACTAGTGTTTGTGCATAATGATAGATCCTGGTTTTATTTTGTAATATTATAATGGACTAAGAATTTTGAGTATCTGTTTATGTAATTCTTCTGGGGAGGTGGCTTGAGGGGACACACCCATGCTGTGCGGGATCACTACTGGAGGGCTCAGGGGGCCAGTCATACAGGATAATGGAGATTGAACCCTGGTTGGCTATGTGCAAGGCAAATGCCCTACCTGCTGTATGATCACTCTGGTTGCTGTAATTATTATTTTTTTAATAATTTTTGAGTCACTATACGATACATAGTTACAAAACTGTTCATGATTGGTTTTCAATAATTCAGTGTTACAATCCTCATCCATTCACCAGTGTACATTTTCCATTATCAGTGGAAATGTTTCCTTCCCGTTTGTTTATTTTATTTTGTTTTGTATTTGGGCCACACCTGAGTGTGTTGGGAATCAGGGCAATCTCCTTACCTGCTAACCTATCTCTTTGGCACTTCTTTATGTAATTATTTTAACCATTTGTGTATTTCTTTTATGGTAAAATTTCTGTTCATATTTTATTCACTTAATCACTTAATCACTTAATCCCCGTTATTCATCGATTTATTCGAGCGGGTGCCAGTAACGTCTCCATTCATCCCGGTTGCGTGCTAGTGTAGCCCAATGGTATCTGTTCGTTTTAGGAACATGTAGAGCCTCAAACCGATCGTTTAGGGTCTTGACGAAGAAGTCTGACCATCTTATAGGTGGGCGTCCACGTGATCTTTTGATGTCTCGTGGAATCCAATCAGTAATGGCTCTAGTCCAGCGGTTGTCTGTAAACCTCATTACGTGTCCAGCCCATCTGATTTTTGATGTCTTGGCAAATGAGACAGCGTCCCTGATTCTTGAGCGTTGACGAAGATCAGAACTCCGGATTCTATCTCTCATTTGAGTGAATCGTGATATTCCAAGCATAGTTCTTTCGATTCCTCTTTGAGAGACCCGAATAGTGCTCTCATCCTGTTTTCGTAGGGTCCAGGTCTCTGAGGCATATGTTAATGCAGGAAGAATAGTGGAATCAAAGAGATGTGCTCGTAGCTGGAGGTTCTTTGTCCTTTTAGTTATTTCTTCAATGCTCTTGAAGGCATTCCAAGCCGCTCTCTTCCTCCTGCGCAACTCAGGTGCCAGGTCATTCATCATGTTGATTTCTCGACCTAGGTATATATAACTGTTGCATTCGGAGATGGTGGTTCCGTTGAGAGCGAATGGAGCGTCAGGAACAAGGTTGTTTCTCATAAACATTGTCTTCGTAAGATTCAGCTGTAGTCCGACCTTTCCACATTCACGGTCAAAGTCTTTCAGCATTTGTGCCGCTTGGTTGATGTTTGGTGTTATTAGAACGATGTCATCAGCAAAGCGGAGGTGGTGTAGTTGCCGACCATCTATCTTCACTCCCATGTTTTCCCATTCCAGTCGTCGCATGATGTTCTCGAGGGTGGCACTGAAGAGTTTTGGTGAAATGGTATCACCCTGCCGAACCCCTCTCTTGATATGGATGATTACTTCTTTGTAGGGCTGGAGCGATAGCACAGCGGTAGGGTGCCTTGCACGCAGCCAACATGGCCGACCCGAGTTCGATTCCTCCGCCCCTCTCGGAGAGCCCGGCAAGCTACCGAGAGTATTCGATATGCCAGACACAGTAACAACAAAGTCTCCAATGGAGACGTTATTGGGCCCGCTCGAGCAAATCGATGATCAACGGGAGGGCCTTTACTTTTACTTTACTTTACTTCTTTGTAGAATGGTGAGATCTTGGTAGTGAATCCGCAATAGAGCTCACGAAGGATCCTGATGTATTGAGTTTGTACGCCCTGATTGGCTAGGGCTTCCATGACCGCTTCCGTCTCAACAGAATCAAAGGCCTTCTTTAAATCAATGAATGTTAGACAGAGTGGCATCTTGAACTCCCGAGATACCTCAATGAGCTTGGTTATTGTGTGGATATGGTCAATGGTACTGAATCCTTTTTGGAATCCAGCTTGTTCACATGGTTGTCCTTCATCTAGTGTTCTGCTAATCCTATTCAGGATGACTCGAGTGAATAGTTTGTAGATGACAGACAATAGGCAGATTGGGCGATAGTTGCCAATGTCGTGGATGTCTCCTTTCTTGTATAGTAGTACAGTCTTGCTGGTTTTCCATTGGGATGGAACCTTGCATTCAGACAGGTAGCGTGTGAAGAGTCAAGCCAATGTATTGATGAGTACTGATGGTAAGTTCTTCAGGTGTTCAGGTCTGATCTTGTCTGGGCCAGGTGCTCTTTGTTTCTTTACAGACGAGATGGCATGTTGGATTTCGGAAGGGAGAACATTGGGAACGACATATCCATCATGTGGTATGTGGTATGTGGGCAAGTGGATGTGGCTATTAAAGAGATCTGAGTAGAAGTCATGAATAATCTTCTCCATTGCCCTTCTGGAAGATGTGATAGATCCATCATGACGTCGGAGGGCAGTCATCTTGGTTTTGTAGTTGGTGAAGGACAGGCGAGCATTACGAATGTTTTTCCCAGCTTCTGCTGCATCTACCAGTACTGCTGCTCTCCTGTTTTTGAGGTCATCCTTGATGGCTTCTCTGCACTGTTTTGCCAGTTCGGACGTTTGCTTGTGGTTGCCTGAGGCACGTGCCAAGCCACGTTGGCGAATAAGTTCAAGAGTGTTCGAAGAAAGACGGTTTTTTGTGGTTATCTCTCTCTTGGCATTCCTTGCACAATCATGGAGGTGCTGAATCATTCGATCGTATTCCTCATCAATGTTGTCAATGACGGCATCTTCCCATGTTGCCGCAACAGAGCCAAAGAGTTCCCAGTTGGTGGTTGTTCTGGGAGTCCTTTTCTTAAACCTTGCATTCTTTTCATTCAATATTTTATTGCCTATCTTATTTTTTTTTCTTTCATTTAGCTTTTTTGGGGACTCATACCTGTTAGTGCTCAGAATTTACTCCTGCCTCTGTGTTCAGAAATCCTGGTGGGCTGGGGAAGAAGGTGGGCAGGAGAATGCAGGCCATCACAGGTCAGTTGCACAAGGCAGGCATCTTACCCACTTCACTATTTCTCTGGACCCTAAAAATGTTTTATAAAAATCCTTTAATTATTGACCTTTGAGAGTTACTTATTGTGCATGCAATGAATTACAATAGTGGACTCAGTCCTCCTGAGTTCATCATGAGGATACAAGTTCATTATGACTTGCAAATAATTTCTTCCCTTTTTGGTTTTGAATTTTATTGATGGTGTAGCACAGATTTTTGTTTTAATAAAGTCCAAATTGAATACGTATATATGTTCATTCATTAAAAATCCAATGTCTCCACTTACGTAAGACAAGAGCTAGTTTTATTTTGTTCTGTAAATTTTGCCTACGCAATTCCCCCAGGGCCTAGGTCTGAGCTTTGACTTTGGTGGACACTCAGCGGGGCGGGACTTTTTCTCGGCCAACCGTCGCAGGACTACGACTCCCAGAGTGCATCGCGCGGCCCCGCTCACCGCAAAGGTGCGAGTCATGTAGACCTGGAGTGTGGATCGAGGAAAGGCAGTTCCGGTGAACCCCGGTGCTGAGATCGATTTCTCAAGACTGCCCTCCGACGTGGCTCGAGCTAGCGGAATAGCAGGGAGTTCCACCTCCCCCCGGCAGGCCCGCCTCTACCAGCCTCCCTCTAGCACCCTTTCCTGGCTTTCCTACTCGAGTTCCCGCGGAGCTGAGCCCTTGTCGTCCACCAATCGCAGCCGAGAGTGTCTCCGGCCGGGCCAATCAGAGGCGAGGGTGGAAAAGGCCGGGGCGGGAGGCGGCTGGGGGACTAGGCGTGGGTTTGTTTCTCCGCGGAAAGGCGGTTAGGCTTCCCGGGCTGCGACCCCGGAGGGAGCACGGAACTGCGTGAGTGTGGACGTTTATCGACCCTCCCCCCATTCGGCTGGGAACTCGGGTCGGGGCCAGGCCTACCTGTTCGATGCCCCCTCCGGGAGTCCGGGCCAGCATGTCTCTCCAGACCCCTCTGGACTCCTCACCTCCGCATGCCAGCTGCCTGGACATGTGGAAGGAGAAAAATAACCAGCTAGTTCGACAGCTTAAGGTAACGCAGCTATTGGGACCCTTGTGTTGCAGCCTCAACTTACCAGGAAGAGGGTTTGGCGTGGATTTCCCCTCGCCGAAGTGGAGGGCCTGGTTTGACCTCCCCCAGATAGCCAAGACATGCCTGGAGAAGGGCTTCCCTTGCTACTCTTGCAAGAGCAGAGGTAACGACCGGTCCTCAGCGACTGCCATCCACGTTTGACAGGTGGCTTGGAACTCGGATCTGACTTGGAGGCGACAGCATTTATTTCAGGAGGCACTGCAAGGCTTCACGGGACTTCTCCTTAGTTTGCGAGGTAAGGGAGGGGTGAGGAGGTGTGCATCCCCTCCGGCGTGTTCCCTCCCTCTCTGTACCCCAGGACACTAGGACTGGGAGTTCCCCTGCTTCACTGCGGAGTCAGTTTTGCGGGTCCTGGATGGAGGTGGTTTGGGGGGCATGGACAGGCGGAAGATTGGAGAGAGTTCTGTTTAAGATGCAAGAAGAAGAGAGGAGAGAGAGAGAGAGAGAGAGAGAGAGAGAGAGAGAGAGAGAGAGAGAGCAGCGTTTGAAGATTTCGTTTCAGAATGGTGTGATCTAGAGAACTTTGTGCTCTTTCCAAACTCTGTCCCAAGGGAAGGGTCTTATTGAGGGCATTTTCCCTTTGTTTAAATTTTTTATCATGATTGGCTAGTCATACAATGATCCAGCACCCATCTCTCCACCACCAGTATACATTCCCCACCACCAATGTTCCCCTTTTCCCTCCCACCATTCCCCAGAGCCGCCTGTATTGAGGGCATTTTGGTTGTGGTGGAGAATTCTTTAGTTTGGGTACTCACTTGGGGATGTTTCCCTGGAGCCTTTCGTGAGACCCACATCTATCATTCCAGGGCTGCCTGTGGCTCCTTTTGTTCTCCCCTTGGAACTGACTGTCACCTGCAATTTGATTACCCTGAGGGTGAGCCTGGCCCGGGGATTCACAGAGGACCTGGCCCAGGATATCCAGCAGGGCCTGGAAAGAGGTGAGGACCAGAGATTGTTTTCCGTGCCTCACAGTTGGGGTTGGTTTAGCCAGGGGGTGGAGAACCCATACAATCTGTTAATCTTCATAGAAATGCCCTTCTTTAAACCGCAATGTGCTTCACTAGTGCCACTGAGCCATTTGGGGTCTTTTGGCACAAAGGAAAGCCGGAGAAGTCCCACTTCAGCTGTGTCTGTGTCTACTCTACAGTGCTGGAGATCCAGGAGCAGCAGGGCCCCAGGCTGGAGCGTGGGCTCCAGGGGCTGTGGGACTCTGCCCTGCATGCTTCCTCCCAGCTACCACAGCTGCTCCCTGCCCTGCACTGCCTTGTTGGCCTGCAAGCTGCCCTCTGGCTGAGCACTGACCGCCTTAAGGACCTGACCTTGCTGCTGCAACCCTTGAACGGCAGTCAGGTAATGTAGGATGGGACCCAGGTTCAACAATTCTTCCATCCTTCCACCCCTTTAGCTGTTATAGCATTGCTGTCGTATCCTGCTAAAGTTGTTGAGTTTTATGGTGTTCAGGACACCCAAGTTCTCTCAAGGACTCTCTTTTGGGGGGCTTTTTGGACCACACTTGGGTGTTGCTCAGGGGTTATTCCTGGCTCTGCACTCAGGAATTACTCCTGGCAGTGCTTGGGGGACCAGATGAGATGCTGCGAATCGAACCTGGGTAGGCTATGTGCAAGGCAAATGTCTGCCTGCTGTACTATTTCTCCAGCTCCTCTCTCAGAGACTCTACATGGCCTTGCTCTGGCTGGTCTTCCATTGGGAGGAATTCTCTCTGTCTTTTTTTTTTCTTGGAGGTAGGCTGAGAATTCTCTTAAGAGCAATCTGAAAAAAAAAAAAAAGAAAGAAAAAAAAGAAAAAAAAAAGAGCAATCTGTTTGTGGGTTGGAGTGATAGAGCAATGAGTAGGGGTAGGTGCCTTGCATGCAGCCCTATGGGTTGCTTCCCTGGCATCACATATGGTTCTCCTGAGCCTGACAGGAGTAATTCCTGAGTGCAGAGCTAGGAGTAATTCCTGAGCAAAGCAGGGTGTGGCCTAAAAAACAAAAACCACAAAAAATCAATCTGCTCGTTTATTTGGGGGCCACCCCATGGTGCTCAGGGGTTATTTTCAGCTTTGTTTTTGTGGGTTGAGCCTGGCAATGCTCAGGGGACCTTTTTATGTTGGAGATTGAACTCAGGTATCCTGCATGTGAAGTATATGCACCAGCCCATTGAGCTCTCCAGCCTCTGTGTGTGTGTGTGTGTGTGTGTGTGTCTGTTTGTGTGTGTTTTAATAGTTATATGATCTTGGGTTAGATTAGGTCTCTCATAACCTTAGTGAAGTCACCTCTAAACTCTAGCTTCTCATCAGAGCTCAAATGTGAAAGGAAAAAAAAATATGGAGGGCCACAGTGGTAGTACAGTGGGTACAGCATTTGCTTTACATGCAGCCAACCTGGGTTCAATCCCTCGCATCCCATATGGTCCCCCGAGCACCACCAGGAATAATTCCTCAGTTCAGAGCCAGGAGTAAGTCCTGAGCATCATCAGGTGTGACCCAAAAAGCAAAAAAAAAAAAAAAAAAAAAGTAGAACCAGGGATAGGGTTCAGTGGCAAAGTGCATGTATTGCATGCCATGAATCACAACCAAGATGGATCTTGCCTTGTGTCCTAGTGAGGATATCCATACTAGATCAGCATTGCCTCAAGACTGTTTATTTCATCTCCTTATTGTGACTCACAGCTGTCTGTCTCTGAGAATCAAGGGGACGAGAATCTGGGGAACCCTTGAGCTCTGGGTCCAGCTAGGGCAGACCAAGATAGGAGAAGCCAAGCTGGCTATCAATTTGGCGCCTCTCATTATCCTTCTCTTCTCAGAATAGGGCCTCAGAAGACCTACTGCTACTTCTGAAAACTTGGGCTCCCCCAGCGGTGGGGTCAGATGCCCCACTGACTCTGCAGGATGCTTGTCACTTGAGGGGTGTCCTACTGACAGCATTTGCCTTCCGCCAAGGTCAGCTTGATGCCTTCCTGCCCACTCCCTGTCTTGCTGAGTCCTCTAATCTCCTGACCACCTCAGCTCTCATTCAGCTCGATGGAGCTTCTCTGGGCTCTTGCTCCCCGCCATATGGTGGTCTTTAAGCTCATCACCTTATTTACCTCAGGCCTCCAGGACCTGATTTCAGGGAGCCTGACTGAGGCACTGAACAACCTGCATGAAGCGGCCTCAGGTCTGTGCTCCCGGCCTGTGATGGTCCAAGTGTATACAGCCCTGGGCACCTGTCTTCGAAAGCTGGTAAAGATGGTCCGTGGGTGGGTTGGGGAAACTGCAGATTGTTCAGGAGAACTTTCTGCTTTGAGAGAGTAGCTGAGACTTTATCCGTTTCCCCCTCAAGGGCAATCCACAGACAGCTGTGCTGTACCTGCTTACAGCCCTGAAAGGGGGATCAGTCAGTGGTCCCCTGCTTCTGGAAGCTTCTAGGATATATCAGCAAGTAGGGAACAGAGAGGCAGAGCTGAAGAGTCTGGAGTTGCTAGTTGAGGTAAAGAAATACACCAGGTTAGGACCTGGGAGATAGCTCAAAGGGTTGGAATGCACGCTTTGCATGTGGGAAGTCCGGGTTTGACGCCTGGTGCTGCATTATCACCAGAGCACCACTGGGAGTAACCCCTGAGCAGTGACCTAGGAGTATCCCCTGAGCACTGCCAGGTGTGGCATAATACTCACCCCCACTCCCCACCTCCCATCCCCCCCGCCAAAAAAAGAATTATGCCATGTAAGATATAGGGTTTGGAAAATTACTATGGTGCTTGGTTGGTGTAAGTAGAAGGAAGTATTGCTCCTGAAGATTATAGATACTGCTTTCTTCCTTTTTCCCTTGTTAGGCCTTAAGTATTACTCGGAACCATGAAGCCCCTCCACTTCTCATTGAGGTAGAGTTGCTACTCCCACCACCTGACCCAGCCTCACCCCTTCACTGTGGCACACACAGCCAGGCCAAGTACCGACTAGCAAGCCGATACCTACAGACTGGGAGGTAAGATTTCACCTTGCTCATTTGATATTAGTGGGATTCATTCTTCATGGGATAGATGAATCAGTGCTGTAGACCCCCATTCCTGAATCAAGGACACTTCACCCGGACACTAACCTGTGACATTAAAATTCTGAAATCTGTGGGGCTGGAGCAATAGTACAGTGGTTAGGGTGTTTGCCTTGTTCTCTGCCTACCCAGGTTTGATCCTAGCATCCCATATGTTCCCTGAGCATCACCAGGATTAATTCTTGAGTGCAAATCTATGAGGAACCCCTGAGTATTGCTGGTATGGCCCAAAAATAAACAAACAAAAAGTTCAGAAATCTAGGGTCTGAAGAGATAGCACAAGGGTTAAAGGTGCTTGCCTTGTATCCCACTGACACTGGTTAAATCCCTGGCATTACATGTGTTTCCCAGAGCACTGTCATGGGTCACTCCTGAGCAGAGAGTCAGGAATAGCACCCAAGCACTGACATGTATAACCAAACTCCCCCATTCCTGAAATAAAATTCTGAAGTCTCCCCAATTCATTCTGCAAGTAGGGATAGATCCATGCTGAGCTAGGGGTAGAGCTTATAGACCCCACCCCTCTCTCCCTAGGGCCCTAGAGCCTCTTTTCAGTAGTTAAGAGCCTTGGAAGACCCTACTAGGGCTCGTGGTGAGACCATGGCTTATATAATTCCTAGGGCGGAAGCTGCTGCTGAACATTATTTGGATCTGCTGGCCCTGTTGCTAGATGACTCAGAGCCAAAGGTGAGTCTCTCGGTAATATTCTCTGTAGAGGGGTGGAAGGATTGGAGTCCCACTGGGGGTAGAGCAGTGCTGCTTTCTGTCTTTTCCCCTCTGCTGTTCTGACCATCCAGATTCATGGGCCAGATGAGAAAGGCTTCCCAGAGCAAGAGTCTAGGACAGCAAGTAGTGAGTGGTCTCTGATGAAAAGGCTGGGGGTGGGAGTTCGCACCTCTTCAAGATGCTGCTTCTTTCTTCCATCCCAGTTCTCCCTACCCCCAGGCCCCCCAGGCCCCAGGATGCCTGAGGTGTTTCTGGAGGCTGCAGCAGCGCTGATCCAGGCAGGTCGAGCCCACGATGCTTTGACTATGTGTGAGGAACTGCTTGGCCGCATTTCACCGCTACTTCCCAGGATGCCATGGCTATGTGAGGACGCTGAGAGAAGAACCATGGAGTCACCGCACTGCCCACTCTGGATCTCTGCTGCCTACCTGCTGCAGGGCCATGCCTGGGTGAAACTGGAGGCCCACAAGGAGGCAATTAGTGAATTTAGCCGGTGAGCCCAGGACACAAGGGGAAGTGTGGAGGCCCAATTTTCTGACTGAGACCTGAGGCATCAAGTACCATTCTTCTCCCAGAATGTCTGAGATTGACTCCTCTTCATCCCTCTTCCATATCTCTCTTCAGGTGCCTTGAACTGCTCTTCAGAACTATACCAGAGGATAAGGGACAAGGTGATCTAGATTTTAAATTTTCCTTTTCCTCCCTGAAATGTCGGTTCCCTTTCTTTGTGTCCCAGCCAACTAGGAGAAGTTTTTTTTTTTTTAAAAAAAGGAACTTAAATTAAAAAAAATACAAGACAAGACAGGGGAACTTGGGGGCAGGGAGGGTGTCTTGGTGACTCTCTGACTGACAATACACTTCTTGACTTTGGGATGGTCCCTAGGGCCTGGTTCCAGCTGTGAGGAGGAGTCTCTGTCAGAAGTCACACTTGCACAGTTTCGTAAAGCTGCCCTGGTTAGTCGTGGACTAGAGTGGGTGGCTAGTGGACAGGACACCAAAGCCCTACAAGATTTCCTCCTGGCTGTGCAGATATGTCCAGGTTTGTATACTTCACCCCATAGGCAAGGAGAGGGGCCCATAGAGGGAGGTACTTTGGTATATGTGTGTGAGTAGTATTTCTTGTTAGAAGTAGTGATATGAGTCGTGTTAGACCCAGGTGTCCAGACATATACAAGACAAATGCAAGTGTAACTTGAGCTCTTCCTGGGAGTTTTTCTGGTCGCCTCAGTGTTCTTGGATAGAAAGTCCATGCTGTGCTGAAAGTGTTGGGAAGGAGCAGAGCTAGCTGAGCCCTTCATTCTGGGCAGGCCGTTAGACAAAAATGGTTGGGACTGGAGAGACAGCACAGGAGTTTAGGCATTGCCTTGCACATAACTGATCCTGGTTCAATCCTTGGTCTTCCAAAACATCTCCAGTAATGGTATCTGAGCACAGAGACAGGAGTAAACCCTGAGTACTTCCTGGTGTGGTCCCAAATATATCCCCATTCCCTCAAAAAAAAAAGTTTGTTCCAGAGAGATGGTAGAGGGGTTAAGGTTTTTGCCTTACAAAAGCTGACCCTGGTTCCATCCCTGGCACTGCATTTGGTTCCCTGAACACTCCCAGAAATGATCCCTGAGCACAGAGGCAAGAATAAGCCCTGAGTACCACAGATGTGGCCTCCAAACGAAAACAGGTTGGAAATGATCTTGTTCCATGTGCAAGATACTTCCTCACTTTAGGCTTATTTCTCCTTTTTGTTTTGTTTATGCGTCGTTCCCAACATTGCTCAGGGTTTATTCCTTGGCCCTGGCTTTGTGCTCAGATATCACTTCTGGCGGTGCCTGGGGAACCAGATGGGATGCCGAGTCAGCCACATGCAAGGCAAATGCCCTACTGATTGTACTGTTTCTCCAGCAGCCTCTCTGTTTTCCCTTTTATGAAAAGGTGCAGGGGCCTGGAGCAATAATAATACAGCAGGTAGGTGCTTGCCTTGAATGCTGCTGACCTTGGTTTGATCCTCAGCACCCCATATGGTCCCCCAGGGGTGATTCCTGAGTATAGAGCCAGAAGAAAGCCCTGCATGGGGCCGGAGCGATAGTACAGTGGGTAGGGCATGTGCCCTGCAGATGGCCAACCCAGGTTCAATCCCTGGCATCCCATATGGTTCCCCAAGCACCGCCAGAAGTGATTCCTGAGTGCAGAGCCAGGAGTAACCCCTGAGCATTGTTGGGTGTGATCCCAAAACAAAACAAAACAAAAGAAGTAAGCCCTGCGTAGTGTACCATGGGTGTGACACCCCCCATCTCTACCCTCCAAAAAAAGTAATGTGATAGGTCGTATAAAGTTCTAAAGTTCTAAGGCACTCTTCTCTGGGGTTGGGCTACAGGTGATCAAGACACTTCCTTTCACCTGCTTCAGACTCTGAGGAAGCTAGACCGGAGAGATGAAGCCATTGCTTTCTGGAGGAAACTTGATGCCCAAACTCAGTTGCCACAGGAGAATGCTACATGGTAAAGCTCCAAGGCCTGCTGGCTTGGGGCCTAGGGGCATTTGATGTCCTGGAGTCCTTGAGCCGAAGGAGTGGGGATGGTCAATGAAAGGGAAGTAATGGCTGCCAACCTTCTGCTTATCCTTCATACTTAGATGTCACCTTCTTTGATCTTCAGGTCTGTCCCACTGTACCTAGAAATTTGTTTGAGTTGGATCCATCCTCCTGACCGTGAAATGCTTGTTGAAGAATTTCGGACATCTCTACTGGAGCTCTGTGACCTGTAGCTGCCCTGCTTTATAGAGTCTGAGCTGGGGCCTCAGGGACCATCTGTCAGGGAAGACTTTCTGCCATACCATCCAAGGGGAATGTGACTGCAGCTATTCCTGTATGTTTAACATGGGCAAAGAGACCTATGAAATTTGTCCTTGTGACTGCCATTCTGGTTCCAGATGAAACTCCCCTTCACCTAACAAAACACTGACTTTGCTTGTGGTACTTTTTTTCCTGTTCCCCCTCCCTTGAGTAAAATATGTTTATGTCTGTCTGCTTACTACATATACATGAATGATAAGGTGGTCCAATTCAGCTGACTGCTGACTATCTAAGATGATCTCTCCCAGTATGCTCTATCTCAGGAGCTTGAGGCTGGGTAGGAGAGAGGCTTATGGGAATCATTGCTCAGAAAGCTTTGGATCTAGTTATTCTTGTTGCCTAAAAGCCCACATATTTTATGCAAGATGAAAGAATGAGTGGAGTAAGGTCTGAAAGGTAAGACCTCTCTGGACAAGGGCAAGTATTTAATTCTTTTGTTTTTATTTCAGGCCACAGTGGAGCACAGGGTTTCTTCCAGGCTTTGTCTTCAGGGATCACTCTGTGCTTAGGGGACCATACAGAGTACCTGTATCGAGCCTGGATCAGCTATGCATTCAAGGCTAGCGCCTTACCTGCTATGCTATACCTCCGGCCCCAGTGTTTAGTTCTTAAGAGGGGGGGGACAGGTAGACCCGAGGCTCACAAAATGACTCATCATTCCCCCATCCTAATCCCAAATTCTAGAAATTTAGGACTTCACTGTCTCTGTCAGTGTGCCTGGATAGGCGAATGAGGGGGTGAATTGCATCAGCATCAGATCAAAATGCTGATATTTCAATAAGGTAGATGGTATTTTGGGCTCAAGAGCTTCAAGTTACCATTCCATTTTCTTGCTACTTTGAGCTCTATTGAATGTACTGTGTTTGGCTGTGGTTGCCTTTTGGGCGGGGTGTGGGGCTTGGAGAAAGAACTTCATTGGCATGTAGCTGCCTTTTGACCTCTGTGGACTTGAGTGCCCTTCTACTCCACACAGTTATGTTAATATTAGTATTGATACTGCCTGAAGAAACGTAAAACCGATGGGTCTAAGGTTACTGAGGGTGCACTGACGAGAACGGAGAAGATCCGGGACTGGGGTACAGGAGGAAAGGAGAAGAGGAGGCTGCGTTTTAAAGAAGTCAAGCGAGAGACTAGCGTGAACCCTCGTGTCTGGAGGGAAAGGTGGGTGTGTAGGTTATCACTACCACAGGACTAAACAGACCAATACGCGGTTCAACCCATTGTGCCAGCTTCTTCCACCAGGATGAACTCGGGAGCCAATGAACTGGAGCCAAGTGGGGGAGTCCGCCTCCGAAGGACTTCAGGCTCTCCTTACGCCAGTCGATCCGGCCCCATTCCTGTCGCTGATTGGTCGAGAGTCCCGATCCGTCGAGGAAGTGTGGCGTTGCGGCCAATTGACGTGGCGTTACTAGGCGTGTTGCATCCCAGAGGCGGGAGCCAGGCCACAAGCGAATTTCCTGATTGGCTCCGGTCCGCGCGTTGCTGGGGAGAGCCGCGGCGAGGCGGGCGGTAGTCCCCAGGACTGCCGCTGATTGGCTAGCGGGAAGGCACCTCTCCTTCCGATGATTCGGCTCTTCTCTGCTCAGTCTCAGCGAAGCGTCTGCAGCCGTCGTTTTGAGTCGTCGCTGCCGCTGCCCCCTCGCGGATCCGGAGCCTGCGTCTCCCGCCCGCTCACCGCCCGGGTGCCACTGGGAAGAAGCGAGAGGGAGGCCGCCTGCGGGTTTGCCGCCCCCTCCCCCACGAGCCGAGCCCCGACCGCGTCGGTCGCCTGCCAGCCCTCGTAGCCGTTACCGCGGGCCGCCACAGCCGCCGGCCGGGAGAGGCGCGCGCCATGGCCTCCGGAGCTGAGTGAGTGTGTGCACGCGCCCGCCGCGGGCGCGCGCGCCGCGGGCTCTCGGCGCGGACTAGGCCCCGCCGGGCCGGGCCGTGGGCGCGTCTGAAGAGGTGGAGACAAGGGAGAGGGGGAGTCGGCCCGAGGGGAGGAGGGCGAGCGAGGGGGGCCGCGGGGCTCGGCCGCGCCGGGCCGGACCTGGCTGCGGCCCCGCGCGCCCCCTAGGCGGGGCTTGCGTCGGGCCCGGGTCGGGGCCTGGGCCGGATCGTGCTGTGTCATGCAGGCCCCGGCCGGCCTGATTGGCTCCTTCGGAACGTCCGCCCCGGCCTCTGCGGGCTTCGGGCCCGCCCGCTCGGCGCCGAGCCCGCGGCTCGAGGGGCGCCCGCCGGCCTCAGGACTGGACTCCCGGCGGGAAAGCCTTCGGGCCCCCCGAGAGAGCAGGCCCAACGGGCCCGACGCGCTCGCCGGGCCCGGTGGGCGTGGACTAGGGCCCACGTGAAGGCCTCGGGCCGGAGGCCGGAGCCCCGGCACCGCCGGCGGCTCTTCCGGGGCCGGGTGTGTGTTTGTGGGGGGAGGGGGGCTGGGCGGGGGTCGGCGGCCCTGGCCCCCTGAGGCTCGCGCGAGGAAGTGGGGTCCGCGTCCGCTCTTCACGCGGCGCGCTGCTGCTTAGGGCTTCTTCGGGGGCTCTGGACTCGCCTTCGGGGCGCGGGGGTTTGAGGACGCTAATGCTTCCGGCGCTTACACACGCCCCTTACCCCAAGTTGTTGTTGGGGTGTGAGACGGCACCCCCCAGCCCCCCGCAGAACACCCGACCAAACCGGGCCACCTGTTCCCGCTGAACTTCAAATCTGGAACTTTAGATTACCCCTCCCCCCCCAGCCTCGCCCCCCAAAAAGGCCACCCTACGGAAAGGAAACTCGAATATGCAAATCCCCTTCCGGGTTGGAGTTCAGGTTTTTGAGGTGTGTGCTTTTTCCCTTCCAAGTTTCTAAATCCAGATTTAGTCGTGAGTTCTTTTCTTTTTTAAACCCATTATCCGGTGGTGCCTCACACCAGCAAGGGTGATCCTTTACCACTAAGCCACACCCTCAGCACCTGGTTGTCATGTTAAAGGACTTAAAGCATTCTCTTAAATTATCCAGTGAGTTTGGTGTGTTATTTTTATGTTTCGTTTTCAGGACTGAAAATAAAAATAGAAAATTCTTGAAACCTGGCATCATAGGTGGGTTTTTAGCTCCTAGGTCATCTTGATGACTTGTATCCCAACTTTCCAAGTCCCCTGTGGCCCACCAAGGTTCTGGAAAGGGCCTGACTCATGCAGGAGACAATGAGGAGCATCTCCAAGAGTCTCCAGTGATGCCTTTGGCCTGTGGTCAGGCCAAAATCTTGTTCTGAGATTATTTCCTTTAATCTCCTTAGATGTGGGATTAAAGGTCTTTTTGCCTTAAAAAAATCATAAATTTCAATTCCAGTGCCAGCGCTAGAAATGATAGGCAGATTGGAGGTTTTCCTAGACTGCATAGTTAAAACATAGAGCAACAGGTAAGGCCTTTGCCTGACATGTGCAGATCCAGGGTTTTATCCCCTTAAGGTTGCCCCCCAGCTCTGCCGGGAGTGTTCCCAGAGCACAGTTTGGAGAAAACCCTGTCCCCAAAACAAAATAGGGTTGTTGGTGTGACCTGGTGTTTTTTCCCTCTCTTGCCCTAGTTCTTAGGATTAAGCAGGAAAATGTTAGTCTTTGCTTGATATTTTATTTTTGATGTGTGGGGAAGACGACCTATAGATTATGGATTCTCTTACCTATGCCTTTAGTTATCACATGACTGAACTTGCTTTGAGGGTGTTGATAAGCCTTGTGTTACCCTACTCTGTTGGTACCTTGCTTTTTGTTAGAGGAAGCACATTTAAGCTGAGGAAAGTCCACTTTTGGGAATTAGCTTATTTATTTATTGACCTTTTCTCACACTTGCAGGGCAAGTGCTCTGCCACAAGGCTGTGATTCTCCCCTCTACAAAAGTCATAATTAAAAGAGCCAGAGAGATGACTAAATGGGCTGGAACTTTGGGAACCCTAGGTTCCATCCCCAGCACTGCTTGGTTCCTGGTCACCTCCTGGAGCACCTCTGATATAGTCCAGACACCAAACCCAGAAAGTGATGGTGATTAAAAATACAGCCTATGTGAGAGTCAGCAATTTTGTTAGATGAGTAGAGTTTTATTTCTGCTGGTTGTATCAGAATTAAAAGATGTAAAATTTCGTAACTCCCGAGCTGGTATTCTAGAATCTAAATGACATTTATTTTTTGGCGAAGTTGTGAAGATATTTCTCAGAAGAAAGGATATTATTTTGGTTTGTTGATGTATGAATCCCCCCACCATCCTAGAACGTTGCCTGATTATCATTAATTTTTTAAGTGTGTTTTGTTTTGTTTTTTGGGTCATACCCAGCGATGCACAGGGGTTACATCTAGCTCTGCACTCAGGAATTATCCCTGGCAGTGCTCAGGAGACCATAAGGGATGCTGAGAGTCAAACCAACGTCTACTGCGTGCAAGGCAAATGCCCTACCCACTGTGCTATCACTTCAGCCCCCTAGTCATTATTTTTTTTGTTTTTGTTTTTGGGTCATACCCTGCAGTGCTCAGGGGCTACTCCTGGCTCTGCACTCAGGAATTATTCCTGGTGGTGCTCAGGGGGACCATATGGGATGCTGGGAATCGAACCCAGGTCAGCTGCGTGCAAGGCAAACGCCCTGCCTGCTGAGCTATTGCTCCAGCTCCCCTAGTCATTAATTTTTTAGAGAACTAGTTCATGAAAAATATTTTACTTACTCATTTCTTCCACTGTCTGGCCTCTCTGTTTTGGTAATGCTCTCGCATTCTTGAACATTTTCTAAGAAACTGTAATCTAAAGGAAGAATCCAGGGCTGAGGAGATAACTCAGAGGGCTGGAGTGCATGCTTCACATGTGAAAGCCTGCCCTGGATTCAATACTTGGCACCTCTGGCAATGCCTGTCCCCTTAGCACCAAGCCTGGAAGTAGCCCCAATGCCACCAGATGTAACCCCAGAACAAAAAATTAAATGGAAGAATCAACTGAATCTAGTTTTGATGGCTGGAGATAAACTAGGTAAGAAATTAGTATTGCAAATATAATTAGCTTCTAGGATATAATAGGATATGTTTTTACAGTTTGGATAATTTTTTGGATAAGTGGCATGAATTTGTTTCATGTTTCAGCATTTTCTGATTCTGACTTTGAACCAACTTCCCAGGAGTTTTGTGACTTTGAAGAAATGACTGGGAAATTTGAAAAATTATTTTTTGAGTTTCAACCTCTCCGAAGGGTTCAAATT